TGCACAGCTCCAGCAGAAGTGACGCTCCTGGAGGATGGGATCCATCCAGGAGCACCAGGACACAGAACCAAGTATTTTCCAGTGGGACAGGCAGGAACACGGAATCTTCCCACACCCACCTTTCACTGGAGGGGTGGGACAGGTGAGGAATCCAGGGCCATCCATGTCTGACCCTGCCTGGTGGCCGGATTTGGGGCAGAGCCCCCTCCTGAGGCAGCAGCAGCCCTGACCACGCTGTCCTTTTTCCCCCCTGTCCCTGTGTGACGTCTGCTGCCCGGGCAAATCAGATCCCTGCTGCATCCCATCGTTTCCTAGGCAACAGGAAGGAATCCGAGGAGCAAAAGCCGCCCGGCAGGGCTGAGGCTGGGGGACAGCCAGGTCCTGCTGGGCCCACCTGGCTGGGAGAGCCCCGGGGGTTCATGGCACTGCCCTGAGCACTGGGCATCCCTGGTGGCCCGGATTCATCCCACAGTGGACCAGGATGCCAAGGCTGAGCTCGGGGCCCCTGCACTGGCTACACCCTGGTGCTGGTGGTGGCCACGATGAGTGGCTCGGGACAGAGCAGGGACACGCACGAGCCCAGCAGCCACGTGGCCCCAAAATCTGGGACAGCTCCATGGGGAGGCAACAGGGACGTGAGAAACCAGCCCAGGGTCTTTGGTGGCCCCCGGAGATGGGGTTGGGAATGGGATCACCTTGCTCAGATCCCAACCCCCCCCTCTCCTGGTGCTTGGGCACGGAGGGCTGGCACTGCCGTGCCGGGGCCGATCTCCTCCGGCAGGGAGGGGATGTGGGAAGGAGGGGATGTGGGAAGGAGGGGATGTGGGAAGGAGGGGATGTGGGAAGGAGCTTTTCCCGTTACCCAGCTGCCGCTGCCTTTCCGGCTGCACGGCTCCCAGCTCTGCAATGCAGCTCACACAGCTCGTCTGCCGTGTGTGAATCCCATCAATATTTCATGGAGCTGCTTCCTCCAGGGGAAGGGCTGCTATCAGCCCTGGCTTTCTGCTGCTCCTACCAGCGCTCTGCTCCTCACACACAACATCTGATTTCCTTCCCTCGGTGGCCAGCACCCAGCAGCCCCCCCTTCCCTCGCTGTTCTGCACTGGCAAATATCCCCCTGCCTTCCAGGGGCTTCATATCCCACGGGGGCCAAGAGTTCTGGAGTCCCCTCAGGTTCAAATCCAAGCGCTGACCAGATTCCACCCCTGGTTGCTCGTGCCCGTTCACTGCAGTGATGCCCAACGTGTCCCCAGGGCCAAACCAGCAGCTCCAGGATGGGTGACCAAACCCACCCACACCCTCTGTTGTCCCCCCAATTCCATATCCAGCAACAGGACCTGCCAACAGCCCAGACCCTGCCTGCCTGGATCCAATTTTCCCTGCCCAGCCGCATCCAGCCCGCAGGTCCCAACTCGCTCCTGAGCCCAGCAGGAGCCGGCGGGGGGGAGCAGGTTTGTTTGCAGAAAAAGTTGCTTTTTTTAAATGCTAAGACTGCACTATTATTCCAAAGCTTCTTCGGGGATCAGCAGAAAACTTGCTTGCCACAGGAAGAGTTCCGAGAGCCGGAGCGGTGCCAGGAGGCAGCGGGAGCCTGCGGCAAACACCCATCACCTGCTCTGCCACCTCTGCAGCCGGCCTGGCACGAGGAGCGGGGGCAGAACCCCTGGGGTGCCAGCAGCGCCTGTATCCCTGGAGGACGATGGAGCTGATCCCAGCGAGGTGCCACACGTGCCACGGCTGGGGAGGAGGGCGATGCACGACGTGCCCGAAGATGAGGCCAAAAGCTCTCGCGTTGCTCTGCCACCCAACAACCAAAATCGGTGCAATTCCCAATTTTCAGGCTGAGACCTCCAGCTCCAGGAGCCCCTTTTTCTGTGGGAAGGATGAGGAGCCTGGAGAGGCTCCCACCACCACCCAACACAGCATCCCAGGGCAGGAAAGGAGCCCCTCAGGCAGCGAACGCAGAGTGTCAGCAGGGCTGTCAATTGGAGCCAAATCACTTCACAACAATTCCTTAACAAGGCTGTTTTCCTGCTCTTTGAGAAGCTGTGACAAAACATTTTCGGCGCGTTGACAGGGATGCAGGGAGCTGGTGCCGCACGGCTTGGGTTTTAACAAGCAGGAAAATTAGGGATTTTCATCACCTTGAACTGCATCTTGTATCCATGTGATGCTTCCCGGAGGGCTGTGCTGCAGCCAGCGCCCACGGAGCTTGGGGGGGTGGACTGGGGGTGTGTGTGTGGGGGAAGCTGGAGGGGATTTTCCCCCTGAATTGGGGTGAAAGGGGCCAAGCAAAGGTCAGACCAAGACGCCAGAATCTCATCCTCTGTCCCTGTCCCACAAAGGCTGTGCTGCGAGGACGGGGCTGGAACGAGGACGAAGAAGCAAGAACTCGGAGTGCTGGGCCGTGGGAGGTGGCAGGAGTTTGCCCTCCCAAAAGGATGTCATGTCGGAGAAGGTACACGGGGAGAGAAGTGCGAGCACAGCAGGAGAGGCTCTGGGGAGGTGTTGGTGGTGTCGGTGCAGAGAGAAACGGGCACACGCCAAACTGGGGCTGGAGGTGAAGGTGCAGAGCAGCCACGGGGCCACCAGGGAAGGGGCTGGGGACGGGCTGGGCATGTGGTCCCACATCCCTTGGCAGAGGGAGGACCCTGGGGCTGCTGTGCCTGGCAACAAAGCCTGGCTTTGGCCTCCAAGCCAAGCCCAGCCCTGCGCCCCTGGCTCAGGGGGATCCGCAGCCTCCCACTCCCAGCAGCGCAGCCCGTGGGATGCTCCCTGGGCACCAAGTGATGGGATTGAGCCTCGGGAGCCCCCTTGCCGTGCTTCCCAGACCCCCAGGGGTGGGCACTGACCAGCACAGAGCCCATCACAGCCATCACCTCCCGTGGGGACCCGTGAGCTCCCACACGGTGGCCCTGGGGACCGTTTTGAGGCGCAGAGCGGGAGGGGGACATGGTGGGGACATGGTGGCTGCCAGGCCCATGCCTGTTGGGGTGCCAGGGGATGAGTGATGCCCACGCTGCCCTCGGGCTTCTCCCCACTCAGTGTCACCCCAGTCAGAGCAAGAGGGAGCAGCGCAGGGGTTTCTGCCCATCCCGGGGCACCGTTTCCCTCTCCCTCACCAGCTCCTTCACCCATTTCCCTACAGAACCGACCGGGGCACCTGTCCCAAACCCCACGGAGGGCGGAACAGACTCCCGGGATGGAGCAAGAGGCAAACCAATACCCGAAGCCCAGGCTGGAGGCGCCGGGAATCCCGGGACGAGGTGAGCCCTGGCCGCACACGAGCCGCTCGGGGCGAGGACGGTGCCCGGGGGCAGAGCCTCGGCAGGACCCTCCCGGCTTTCCCGGGTCCCTCTCCCCGTTTTCCCGGCCGTGGGGACCGGCGGGCACGGGACGGGCTTGACGTCAACGGGCTTTCAGCGGCGATGATGGATGGCACGGGAAAGCGCTCCCGTTGCCGAGCCGCCGGCCGGGAAGCGCTGCCCGCCCCGCACCGGGGAGAGCTCCGGTTCACCGGAGCTCTCCGGGTTGGGACGGAGGGCAACGCGGCCGCAGCCCCCCCCGTTTTAGGCGCAGCGATGTTTTTGGGGTGTTCACATCCCCGCTCAGCGCCTGGGCGATGTTTTAGGGGTGCCTCGCCGGCAGCCGCGGGGTGCGGGGTGGGAAGCACCGGGTTTCTCCCCACGGCGGTCGGGACCCCTCTTCCCACCTCCTCCCCCCTCCCGGAGCGCCCATCCCGCTGCTCCCCCGGCACCGCATCCGCGACGGGCATCCTCCCCCCCATCCCGCCTTCCCAAAAAAAAACCCCCACCACCACCGCTCCCGCTTCCCGGCCGCGGGCGGGGGATGCTGCGGGGCAGGTGCGGCCCCGGTGGCCGCGGGGACCGGCGCTGCCGCGGTGCCGGGCGCCCGGAGCACCGCACCCCGCGGGCACTCACTCACCGCTGCCGCCGCCGCCGCCGCCCGTGCCCGCTCCTCCCCTCGGCCCCGGCGGGCTGCTGGGAGCGGCGGGCGGGGGAGCCCCGGGCCCGGCCCCGACGGCCCGGGCGGCGCGGAGAGGGGCCGGTACCCACCGAGGGGTCGGCCCGGGGCTGCCCGGTGCCCCCCCGGAAGATGCGCGGGGAGAGTTGTCGGCCGGACCCCGAAAGGCGGCGGTGGGACCCTGCATCCATCAGGTGGAGCCTGAGGGCGGACGGGAGCATCCTGCACCTGCCAGGCGGACCCCGGGAGGATCCAGCTGGACCCTGTACCCATAAACTGGACTCTGCATCCATGAATTGGACCCCAGGAGCCTCCAGCTGCACCCTACGCACATCAACTGGACTCTTGACCCATCAACTGGACTCTAGACCCTTAACTGGACCCTACATGCATCAATTGGACTCCAGATGCATTAACCGGACCCTACGCACATCAGTTGGACCCCAAGAGCCTCCAGCTGGACCCTACACCTATTAACTGGGCTCTAGACCCATTAACCAGAGCTCAAAAACCACTAGCTGGATCCTACACCCATCAAGTGAACCCCAAGAGCCAGCAGGTGGAACCTGCACCCATCAGTCGGACCCTGCACCCATCAAACAAACCCCACGAGCCTCCAGCTGGACCCTGCACCCATCGAACAGACCCTGCACCCATCGAACAGACCCTGCACCCATCAAATGGATCCCAAAAACCTCCAGCTGGACCTTACACCCACCAGCTGGACTCCAGGGCTGCCACCTGACCCTTCTCTCTCAGCTGGACCCCAAGAACTGCTGGCCACCCCCCCTGCTGTCACCCTGACCCCAAGCATCCCCACCCAGACCCCAGACCCCTGAGCCAGCCCTCAGTGCCCCCAGGACCCCGGGAGGCTCCGGGCAGACCTGCAGCGCTGCCAGCCCGTCCCGCTCAGCCCGGGTGGCCGCGGGGCTCCTTTGGGAATACACAAATCTCCCGGCTCCGATGCCTCGGCTGCCGCTGGAGCACGAGCGTGGCCCTCCCAGGGGGACAGGGACCGAGGGGGCACTGCCGGTGCCCGGGTTCCCTCTGAAGGAGGGGTTTGGAGCGGGGAGGCAGCGATTCCCGCGCTGCCCTTGGACTCACCTTGGCTCCCTGGATGCAAACACTAATTTCCCTCTGAGCAGCGTCTCTCTCTACTCCTGGTAAATTCCTCCAGTGCTTTTCCCTGCGTTGCCTCTGCCCGGCTGCGCACCGCGGCTGACATGGAGCCACGTGCCGGGAGGAAACCCTCCTTCACCGCCTTTAACTCTGTCCCTCCCTCAAATCCTCAAACACTGCCAGGCTCGGGTTTCCCGGTGGGAAAGGCTTCCCATCTCCGCCCTGCCGGGGGTCCTGGGACCACCTCCGGCACCTGGGGCTGTGGGAAACCACCCGGCCCTCGCTGAGATCCTGATATTGGGATCGGGGTGTGGGGAGTGATTTGGGATCGTGTGCCCAGGGTGAGTACAGCGCTCAATCCATCCGTGCAGGGAGGATGGGGGGGAAATTCCCCCCTGTGGCAGCTGCTGGAGGGGAAGGACAGGGAAAACTGGGATGTGGCGGGTTGTGCACGGGAAAGCTGGTGAGGAACAGGAATAGCTGAAAGAACTAAATATGGAAACTTGGATAAAACAGCGCTGAAGTAGGGAGATGGTTTCCTAACAGGGTTCAAAGCGTATAAACAAACTCAGGGAGGAGAGAGGTTGTCCAGAGGGGCCTTTGTGAGGAATAGTCAGGAAAACCAGCCGAAAATCTCTCCATAGGGGAGCGTGTTCCATCAAAGCAAACTTCCAGCTTCGTGGAGAAAGTGTCAGCCCTGGGAACATATTGTCTGGGGGGAAGAGATAGTGAAAACACCTGCCCCAGCCAGCGAAAAGATTCTCCTTTACGTTTTTTTTCTAACTGGCACATTTCCATGATAAAACAGGAAGTTTCATGGCAACGGTAAAATAATAATGACGAAGTTTTCCGTTCCACTGGAAGTTTTTTGCCCGACCCTGCTTTTCTGCTTCCCTTTGGCAGGTTGCTCCGGGATCACCAACCTCACACCGGGGGGTTTGTTCCTGCAGATCTGAGACTGCAGGATCCTGCGGGATCCCTTGGGAAGTGCCTCCCTGGAGCAGGGTGGGCAAAACCTCAGGTTTGGCCTCGTGCTGGGATCCCATCAGAGCTCTCCCATCTCTCATGTCTCTTAATTCCTTAAGGAGCTCAGCTCTCTGCCCTCTTTGCCGGCTCCTCACCACCTTCTCCTTTACCTTTTGGGTTTGTGCCGGCGAAAAGGGGGTGGTTTAATGCGATTATTCCGGTAAAACCCCCGTAAGAGGATTCCCAGGGCTTGCCTTCACAGCCCTGCAGGGGTTATGGGCAGCTTGTGGATGGGGATGAGCTGGATGTGGGATAGTGGGAAGCCCGAGAGAGGCTTTGTAAGCTGAGCCAAACCGTGGTGTCCCTGCAAGGGTGACCCCGGGATCTGCAGCCCCTGAAGGTGCCACGTGCTGCCTTTCCCTGGGACAGGATGGACATTTCCCATGGTGTGGATCCTGCTCACCCTGGACAGAGGTGGATGGAATGGGCAGCAGAAACACAGAGAAGAGGTAGGAATTTCGGGGGTCCTGGGGCTGTCTGGAGGGTCTTGGAGCTGCTCTGGGGCATCCAGGAGCTTCCCAGGGGACTCTCTGTCTTCCCAGAGGGGTCCTGGGGCTGCTCCAGGGCATCCTGGAGCTTCCCAGGGGACTCTGAGGTTGCCCAGGAGGTCCTGGAGCTGCCCCAGGGCCGGGCATTTGGGGAGGGAGAAGCTGCACCTCGTGACAGGTTATGGGGAGAGGATGGTTTAGGCCGGGACTGGGCAAACCCAGTGTGTATTCCCAGGAATAACCATGCCCTGGGAGGGTGCCAGGCTGTGGGATGAGCCTGGGTGGGCACAGGGGCTCCTCCCCTTGGCCCTGCTGGGCATTCCCACTGGGATGAGCTGCCGGTGCTGTGTCAGCTCTGCAGCTCGTCCCACTTCCCGCAGGAGAAGGAGCCGTGTGGAGAGGCTGGAAAACCTCCTCTCGCCCTCCTGCAGGAGCAGGGGGGTCACGTGTGCTCACCAGTGGGATACTGGGAGAGCCGGAGGGGTGGGCCAGGCAAGAGACACCCGGGCACCATCTGCTTCTCCCTGGGATGCTGCAGGCACCGGGAAAGTCACTGGGATCCAATCCCAGCTCCGAGCTGGGAGCTGTGTCCTCTCCCCACTGCCAGCGCTGAACTGGGAATACTGGGAATGGGGCCTCCCAGTTAGTGCTGGGCTGAGCACCTCAGCTCAGAGTGGCTCATCTGCAGCTCTGGAAGTTCAGAGATTTCCTGACTCTGAGGGGTTTTGCTGATTTGTGTCGTCTCTTCCCCAGGGATGGAGGGCTGGGAGAGCAGGATTCGTCCGGGAGCTCCCCTCTGGATGAGAAAAGGTAAAAACACCTCTGTCCTGGGTTCAAACCTCAAACTACCTGAGTGCAAAAGGTGACCCACAACCCCAGGGCTGGCACTGGATCATCCCTATCATCCCTCAGGCCTTTTGGTTTCCCAAGGAATCCTTCGGCAATACCCAAACCATCATCTCTCCCGAGTCAAATTATCTTTCTGGGGTTTAATTTCAAAGCAGGGACAATGTTTCTACAGAGGCTTCAAAAATCTGTCTCCAGGCAGATAAATACTCTTATTAAAAATCCTTAAATTTATCATAGGGATGTTCCCCAACTAGAAGAGGCACCAGGTGGGATGTGGCACAAAGGGTCAGGAAAAATGGGCCCCAAAATATGGCCCTAAATAGCCTCCTTTTCCCTAAAAATCTACAAGGCAGCGTGTCCATATCCATAAATAATTTAAATCCAGGTTTTCCTTTGCTCGTGGATTATTGCCCCAGAGCAACAGCCTGTTTGGGATGAGTCCAGAGCCCCGCTGGAACGGGAGTCCCGGGGGATGGCGGGGGCTGAGCTGGGAAGGGCCAGGCCTGTCCCTGCTGCTCTGAGAGACGGTTTTCCTCCGTGTCAAACAAATCCAGCCCTCCCAAATCCGGCCCTGGGGTGCAGTTGGAGCAGCACAGCCCCTCAGGGAGCGTGGGAGGGATCAGCTGAGCAGGTGGCAGGTGCTGGGGAAGCGCAAACTCAACGAACCACCACCAGATTTATGCGAGCGCCGATAAAGCAGAGTGGAAAAGCGCTTTCTTCTTTCCTTTTTTTTTTTTTTTTTCCCCCTCTTTCTTGTTTTCCTTGGCTCCTCCACGTTCTGGGCAGGCTGACAGGGAGCTCTGTGTTTGCTGGGATCCTTCTGGGGAAGCTGAGCAGCTCCAGACAATGGATCCGTTGCTGCCGAGGGAGCAGGTGGGGAGGAAACGGAACGCTACAGGCATGAAAGGATCCAGTGGGAGGAGGAGGAGGATTGTCCAGAAATCCCTGGAGTGGGGCTGGATCCTGGCAGGAGGAACAGCTGGGTGTTTTGGCAGCTGGGCCTGGCAGCACTGGCAACAGCAGGGCTGGTTAATTGATCTATAAACGAGGCATTTTGAAGGGGAGTGCTGGGATTGTCACCCCCCACGCTGCACTAGGAGGGTGGCTCAGAAATTAGGGAATTAAAAAAAAACCCAAACAGTAGCAGCCATTAGGGTGGTGAGGGGCTGGAATGAATTTCCCAGAGAAGCTGAGGCTGCCCCATCCCTGGAATTGTCCAAGGCCAGGCTGGATGGGGCTTGGAGCAACCTGGGCTGGTGGAAGGTGTCCCTGCCCAGGGCAGGGGGTGGAACGGGATGATCCTTAACGTCCCTTCCAACCCAAAGCACTCCATGATTCTACGACTTTTATTTCTCTTGGCTGCCTTGCAAGTGCCCTGAGTTGCAAGACTTCCAATAAAACTGCAGGAATTTGCTGCAAGACATTTCCCACTCCAGTGCCAGCACGGAGCCTCCGGGGCAGCCGAGCTCTGAGACCACGGCGGCCGCAGAACTTGGTCCCATTTCCTACATTTGGGCAAAAGTCACGGGACAGAAACCACAGAGCCCAACTCCCTGTGTCTGTGGGATGCAGGGATTGCAAGGATGCAGGAGGGATTTCATCCTCTTGCACAGGGAGCACAGCAAACCACTGTGCCAGAAACTGCCCCGGCGTTTTTGGGAAGGGTGACTGGAAGTGCAGCAGCCACGTGGGACCCAACTTTCCTTTCCCATCTCAAATGATGTTTAAAGTGATAAACGATGATTTTATATCATGAAAAACTGGATTTAAGGATTACATAAAAAAAGAAACCTTTCTAGATGCCAATTTGGGCACAGGAAAGACAATAAGGAGGCAAAGATGGAGTCGCTTCTAAGGAAAAGTGATTTTTTTTTTCATGGGAAAAATCCCGAAGCAGGATGAGTCACCCCTCAGTGTGCCATGTCCTGGAGCCAGCAAAGCCATCCCTGGGAATGGGAGAGCTGCCTGTCCCTGGGAATGGGAGAGCTGGCTGGAGCAGAGCACAGACTTTTGCTTGAACCGGCTCCAGGGTGGCAGAAGAGAGTCATCCTGTGCTGATGGATCCGAGCCCTTGGACAGCTCGGCAGGTTGAACTTGGCCAGCTCTCAGGGCTGGGACAGCAGGGCTGGAAATGGCCCTGGATGAGCCCAAAAGGCTCGGGGAGGGCAGGGCTGAGGAGCTTTGTTGCCAGGGACATGCTGGTTAAGCAGAGCTGCTGTTACACGTCTGTACAGTGAGGCAAAAAAACTCTGGAAATGGGAAAAAAAAAAGACTACTAGGAGACTGCTATTTTACTGCTGTATTAATTAAAACAACTAATCTGTTAGAGGTATGGAGAATTCTGGTGATTTCTGGGACTTCCTGCTCCTTCTCCCTTTTTGGTTCTGTTTCTGTTTGGGTTTCTTTTTCTGAAGAGCAGCTGCCTTGACTCTCTGCTCAAAGAGAGGGAAAGGATCTCTAATTACTTTCTCTATTTATTTCAGTAACATTTCCCCCCCAAGGACGTGAACAACCAGAACTCTGTGGTGCACCAGATACATACAATGACACGAGTTATTTTCCTTTTGTGTGTATTTAAACTATATAACAGGATTCACTGAGTCAATCCAGTTACTACCTATTTAATGGCATTATTATTATTAATATAGTATTCCAAATTATTATAATAAAAATACTATTATTATTATTATTATTATTATTATTATTATTATTATTATTATTATT